GTAACAAGAAGCTACTAGGGGCTCCTGGCCTTACTACTAGGAGCAAGGACGCTACTAGGAACAAAGGGCATCGCTACTAGGAGTAAGGACGCTCTTAGGTTGGAGGCCATCGCTATATATCGCTCTTTGGTTCGAAAGGCAAGCACTTGCCTGCTCGCTCTTGCCTGCATATTTTCGACAGCCAAGGCTCTGGTAGAGAAACGTGAGGAAAGCAATCCAAACCTTTTTGGATTGGGGGAACTTGCGCGTGCAGGTCTCGTAGGCTTTCACGGCCAAGTGCGTTTTCTTGTTTCGCTCGTGGATCCTGGCCAGCTGCATGTAGACCTGCGCGCTTCGCGGCGCTTCCCGCTTTGGCTGACCTTTCTCGTCATTCTTGCTTTCCTCTTATTCGTTCTACCTTCCTGTCTTCCTCATGAGCCACTACAACTCTCAATCGCATCATCCGGTCTTGATTTGACAACTGCGCACAAGCGATGAAATTGGGAGCTCTCAGGTTGGAGGCCATCGCTACTAGGAACAAGAAGCTACTAGTAACCAAGGGCATCGCTACTAGGGGCAAGAACACTACTAGTAAGGGCGGGCTCAAACACTTCTTTTCTAAGTAGCGTCCTTGCTCCTAGTAGCGATGCCCTTTGTTATTAGTAGCTTCTTGTTCCGCCCTTACTTGATTGTAGGTGCCTACTTGATCAAGTAAGGGAGTAAGCTACTAGCTACTTAGACACTACTACATATGGAGGGAGGAATGCTTGCACTAACTTTGTTAAAGAAAGCTCGCAATTCCAGATCGGTTCACCCTGACAACGCACCAAGACTCACGAGGTCGTGAGGCAGGCGGAGCGCCGGCGCTAAGAACTGCGGAATTGAAGGATTGAGCACTACTTGACAAAGCTACTAGGGTGGAGACCATTGCTAGTAAGAGGTTGGTAGCAGCTACTAAGCTACTACCTACTGGACGCAGGACAGCTAACACTCGCACTATTCATGTGGTTCATAGGCTTTTTTAGGGAAACTGAGAGCAATGGCCTCCAACCTACTAGCGTCCTTGCTCCTAGTGGCGATCCCCTTTGTTCCTAGTAGCGTCCTTGCTCCTAGTAGCGATGCCAAGAGCCGCCTAAAACCACTTCGGCGTTTCCCCACCTGCTTGGCATCGTTGTGACGTGTGGCCCTTTGGATCACCGCCTCGGAGGTCTTCTCCGTGCCGAAGGTGCACTCCAAGTTCAAATAGGCCACCCACACGTTGAAGCGCTCTTTGCTCTCGGAGAAGCCAACCTGGCAGGAACAACAAGCGCTACTAGGGGCTCCTGGCCTTACCACTAAGAACAAAAAGCTATTAGGAACAAGTGCATCGCTTCTAGTAACAAGTGCCTTACTACTAGGAACAAGAAGCTATTAGTAGGTCTTTGAAGCTATTAGGTTGGAGGCCGCTGAAACACTTTCCCCTTTCTCCGAGGCACATGCTTCACCGCACGTTCGGCCACCTGCCGAGCCTTTTCCAAATCACTCATCTTCAAGTGAAAGGCCATATAACCTGAGAAATCCCAAAAAAAGAAAAGAGTATTTTTTTTGCAACTGTCCTTTTAAAAAAAAGGGGGGTGGGTAGGCCGCAAGTAGTAGGCTAACAAATGTAGCTAGTAGCGAGTGAAGGAGCTAAGCTACTAGTAGCTTAAGTAAGCATGATAACTAAGTAGGCGCCTCTCACGTTTCGGGATATCTCAACATGTCTAGATTTATTTTTTTGGGGGCGGGCTACTCTAGGACCCCCAGGGGATGGTTTCGGACCTCCCTTCTCGGACCTCCCTTCTCCCTAAGGGCTGTTTGGTCTTGAATTGGTGCTGGATTGGTGGATGCGGTGCATTGCGCTACCACATGCACGAATGCGGTGCAGCCCGGGTGGTTTTGGTGCGTTCCTGCGAAGGGCTCAGAATGGTGGAGACTGTACTGACACATTATTAAACGTTTCTTTGGATGGCCTCCAACGATAAACTAGATTATAAACGTCCTTTCTTCATATGTTCTTTTTCTTCGTCTTTTCTTCTATTTCCAATAGCGGTGGGCCTTCACCCCACTGGCGACTTCGCTGCTCACAGACGCGACGTTGCTTCGCTTTGCTTCCGATGGGCTCCCCGGATTCCGGCTCCGGGTTGTCGCCAGCGGCGGAGCGAGCTAAAGAGCGAAGGAAATGCAAAGCGAATTACTAGTAGTAACAAGTGCCACGCTACTAGTAACAAGTGCCTTACTAGTAGTAACAAGAAGCTATTAGAAACAAGAAGCTAATAGCTTCTTGTTCCTAGTAGCAATGCCCTTCGCCCCTAGTAGCGAACCTTGCTCCTAGTAGTAAGGCCAGGAGCCCCTAGTAGCGTTTTTGATGTCTGTTTTGTTCAAATGTGTTTTTTCATCAAGTTTCGTCAGATTCTAAAGGGCATCTAAAAGCCACCGAATATGAAGCCAAACATAGCCAAAGCACGGATCCAAACAACGGAAGTGTCGCCCTTCGTGAGAAGAAGCCGCTCAAAGTCTTCCACACTTCGAGGGTTGTACTCCCATTGGCCGTCAGCATTCTCAGCCTCTCATTACCAACAAGTGCCTTACTAGTAGTAACAAGAAGCTAGTAGTAACAAGTGCATCGCTACTAGTAACAAGTGCCTTACTAGTAGTAACAAGATGCTAGTAGAAACAAGTGCATCGCTACTAGTAACAAGTGCCTTACTAGTAGTAACAAGAAGCTAGTAGAAACAAGTGCATCGCTACTAGTAACAAGTGCCTTACTAGTAGTA